CAAGGACCCCGGCGAGGAGCGCTGGCCCGCGGGTTTGCGGATGAGTGCACCGTCTCGGCCGTCCCACTGAGGGCTCTTCGTCTCCTCGGCCCGCTCGCTTCGCTCTGAGCTCAGCTTCCTACTGCTCCCCTTACACGCGAAGAGTGGGCGCTGTTTCGAGGCGGATGCCTGAGTTACTCCTCTGGCAAAGAGACGAGGTTCCCGTTGGGAGGCGGGCGCTGAAGAACGTCCTCCTTTCCCCACCTCCCGGCTCTAGCGTAGCCTCTCTGGCTTTCAGCTCCCCACGGTTGCTAGGACGCGCTTGTGCATGCACCAGGGAGGTTACCACAACCTGCCCTTGGGGGGGGGAGTCCTGCCGCCTCCGAATTAGAAACTCCAGGCTGATCTTTCCATATAACCCTTCCTTTTAAAACATCATTAATGGCGGGCGCGGTGGCTCACGACTGTAATCCTAGCATTTTGGGAGGCGGAGACGAGAGGATTGCCTGAGTCCAGGGGTTCCAGACCAGCATGGGCAACTTGGCGAGACCTCGTCTCTACAATAAATAAAAAAATAGCTGGGCACAGGAGCGTGTGTCTGTAGTTCCAGCTACTTGGAAGGCTGAAGCAGAAGGACCGCCTGAGGCCAGCAAGTCGAGGCTGTGGTGGCCGTCAGCGCACCGCTGCACCCCAGCCTGGAAGACAGAGTGAGACTCCGACTAAAAACAAACAAAAAACCCAAAACGTATTTAAAAGAAGTTCTACTTTAGCTGACACTAGAGCCAAGATTTTAGGAATGACTCATCTGAAGTTATTGTGGCCTAGTAGTTTTAAAATAGTAAATTTCAAAGTCCTAATTAACACTGTAATATTTACTTACTGTAAAATTAGTCTAAGTACCTTTATATATTTACATAAAATGTTATATACTATACTTAGGATAAGTAAATAAGCATTCTTTCTAGATGATTTAATTTGCTAATGCTTTCTTCCTGTCACATGCATTTACCACCCTCAGTTTTGATTAAATTGGGAAGAGATGAAAGATATTTCCATTTGAGTTATAATGAAAATTAGTACTGCTGGGAAAGATTAGAACAGTATATAATAGTGTAGCAGCACTTATTTGGTGTCAGGCACCATATTAACACTTCCCATTTATAAAATCCAAGATATAAAGTGCCAAAAGGAGTTTAGGCACTGCAAAACATTTGCTGTGTGGTATTCTGGAAGTCCCTAAATAGTTTGTCTTTCTAATCCTCAATCTGAGGATAGGATGTAACAGATCTTGGTTTCTTGGACATAGGGATTAATTACTCTTGGAGCAAGAAAAACTAAGTAGGAAAAAGCTTATTTAGAGAGGTGCAGTCCCAAACCTTCTGAGATGAGACTGCTGGAGGTCATGACCTGGCACTAAGAGGTGCTCTCATAATTTTTAGGTTTCTAGTATTTTCATTTGTTTCTCTACCTTTTTGGACTGCCAGTCCCCCAAATGACTGAACCTTTAAGTCCCCTTATACCAAATTTTGAACAATCTTAACCTAAATCAAAATCTTACAAATAATAAAAAAACTAAGATAATTTCTTTCCTTTGCTCTTTCAGAGGCTTCCCAAACTGATATTTGAAATTTGATTATTAGTTGCAAAAGGGGACATTTAGAATTACAAATTATCATTCCTGCTAAGGAGAATAACACTCAAAAGTTACAATGAAACAAGAATTTGCAAGCATCTGGCTTTTAAAAAGTTTATGGATGCTCTCCTTTAGCAAATTATTACCTTTATTCCTAGGAACTACTGTCTTCTTTTACAAGGTCAACTAAATGTTGAGAGATAAGAAGTGAGTTGAGGTCAAGGTTCTACAAGACATTAAAGCACTTAGTGGTCCTAACCAGGATAGACCGGAGGGCTGAGGAAACTAGTCCCAGGCCACAATCATGATAGCTACAATGCCTTGGGCATTGATTTAATGTATGGCATGTGGTAGTTTTAAAACATGCCCAAATTATTTGACACTTCTCCTATATCAAAGTGGTGTCTAAATCCTTTTCCCTTGACTATAGGCCAGCTTAGTGACTCTCTAAGGAACAAAATACAGCATGTGGTAGAACTGACACGGACTCCAAGGCTAGGTTAGGAAAGGCAAATCAGCAGGTATACAGTTCCTTGTTCTTTCTCTGGACACCTGTCCTTGGAATCCACCTATGGTATTATGAGGAAGCTAAAGGTACATGAAGAGGCCATCACCAACACCAAACATATGAGTAAACAAGCCTTTAGGTGATCCCAGACCCTCATCCTTTGAGCTGCCCCAACTGATGCTGAATGGAGCAGAGATTAGCTATCCCAGTTGGAACCCACCAACTTGCAGATTTGGGAGCAAAATACATGTCTTTTGAAGCCCCTGAATTTTGGAGTGGTTTGCTACACAGCAGTAGAAAATCAGAGCAGGGTTTTTAATGTCATCTCTAACTCCCTCTATCAGCCTGAATAGTAGCTGCTATCCTTCTCTGTATGAGGAAAACTAAGATTCTGTGGCTCAGGTTCCACATAAATTAGCAGTCAGGATTTAATAAATTCAAAGAAGGGACCTTGTCTCCCCAGCTTTAAAAAGAACCTGAATCCAAAAAAAGCTTGATATTCAAATAATTAAGCACAACCATTTTATTATCACCTACAATGTGTCCCTGTATAGGCGTATTAGAAAAAAAAGACCTAGCAGTTTTATTGGGGTCATATAAGGCTTTTTACCCACCTTACCCAATTTAATCTGACAACTACTGTGAGCTGTTTATCATTCTCCAGTTTTACAGATGGGAAACCAAGACTAAAGATTAATAAATTGCCTAACTCTCTGCAGCTTGTAGGTGGCAGAGATGTGATGCAAACTGAGGCCTGATTTGCAAATGTTTCCCTCTGCCTCTTGCCTGCAGAAAAAAGTTTGTGAGAAACACATTTTATTCTGTATTACAGACGACAAGAAAAAACATTATCCTTGTTTTCTCTGTTGCCAAGACTTACAGGAAGGGAGCTTAGCTTTGTGGTTACTCACTGCCCAACACCCTAACTTCACAAGTGAAGAAAAGTTCAAAGAAAGTAGAGCTGTTGAAAGAAATGTAGGATTCGCTACCCTTTAACGAGAAAAACTGCGTTCCCCCCCTCCACGCCCACGTATCGTTTCAGGGCAGGAATAGGGGCTCCCCATACTCCTGCAGAACAGGCTCTGGTATGTCCTTCCCAGCACAGCAGTTACTGGCACCGCTAGCGTTCTTGCATTCCTGTGTCCCCTGTCAGCCTGTCTCTCTCAGTACTTGCCATTCGCCATCTCATAATCTTCCAACCACACTCACACTTCCCCTTCCCGTGCAGGCTAAGTAAAGATTCAGGTTATGGGCGGGAAAGTACATTTCAGTGAGCCTGCCAGTCGTCTTTATCTCTATCAAAGGCGGTCGAAGCAAGTTGCTTATTAATGCAGCCACCAGTACTCTCGCTTAATCCTCACAAACTGCCGGGAACCGTGGCTCACGCCTGCAATCCCAGCACTTTGAGAGACGGAAGCGAGAGGATTGCCTGAGCCCAGCCTGGGCAACTTGGCGAGACCTCGTCTCTAGAATAAACCAAAAAATTAGCCGGGCGTGGTGGCGCGGGCCTGTAGTTCCAGCTTACTTGGAAGGCTGAGGCGGAAGGATCCCTTGAGCCCAACAGGTCGAGGCTGCGGTGGCCGTGAGCGTGCCACTGCACTCCAGCCTGGGCGACAGAGTGAGACTCCAACTCAAAAAAAAAAAGTTTCATAGAATTTTAGAGGCCTAAAAGTCAGAACTTTGCCCAAGATCACTCCAGCAAAAAACAGAGCCACGTTTCGAGCCCGCACCTGAGAGGCTCCAAAGCCTCCGATTCCCCTTGCCGAAGCCTCGGGGTTCACTAACGCGAACCGCGCCAACAAAATGACGGCCGCGGTCCCGGGTCGTGTCAGCAGCCGACCCAGGCCCACCTGGCCGCCGCCTTTCCGGCAGAGCGGCGGGGCGCGGATTTCGGGCCGCGAGTGCCGCCGGCTCTGCCCTTGTAGCGCGCGTGGGAACGCGGCATCCTCCCAGAGGCTGTCCACGGAGACCGCCTGTGTGCACGGAGGCAGGGATCCGCTATCATCGCCGCGGCCTCGTCCCCTTCGCCGCGGTCTCCTCGGTGCTGCTGCCTCCACGCCGCCGGGCCCGCGCGGGAGCTGGCGTCCGAAGCGC